TGGAAAAAAACATTCAACTGCCAAACAGTGAACTTCATTGCTTTTGTGTTATTGTTTTATTTTTTTTAACTAATTTAGCTAAACAGAGTAATTTCAGATTCACTTACTCTCTCTCTCTCTCTCTCTCTCTCTCTCTCTCTCTTAGAATATGACCATACCAAAATCATATCTGTATCTATGGTCCTATGGCAACTATTCTGCTTTGGTTGCTTTCCCTAAATTTCCTTAAAGCAGTATATATATATATATATATATATATATATATATATATATATATATATATATATATATATATTTGTTTTAATGAAGCTGTGGTCACTGCTTTTTTTGTCTCTCACTTCAACTCTTCCCTCCTTTGGCTACTGTCTCTAACACATCTGCCTTATAGCTTGGGGTCATGGAGCAAAGAAAATCTCCAGGAAGCCCTCACAAACATTTGTCTGCTTTTCATCCTTGTCCTCAGTGAGCACTATAGCATAATATATGTGAACATGGGCTTGAGACTCAAACTTCCTGAATTCATATCCCAGCCCCTCCCCACTATTAGTTGTAGGATCTTAGTCAATTCCCTCAATTTAGCCAAACACCTATTGCTGGCCAATGAGGGAGGCAGTGCCTATATGTAAAAAAAAAAAAAAAAAAAAAAAAAAAAAAAAAGGTATAATTTTAATTCATTCTATTATTGCTGTTATTGCATTGACTGTAGCCATTTTTAAAATTTAACAATGTAAGGGAAAAAAGGTCAGTGTCCCTAATTAAGTAGTCAGGTATTGCATGTTTTAAAATTCTTGAAAATCATTGCTCTACATTGGCTCACATACAGAAAAGTTGTGGGATCAGGCCTAAACAAGCAGTCAGACATCCCTCGAGGGATCCCAGATTGGAGAGGGTGCAGGCTAGGCTGTGGGACACCCCCAATGCACAAATTTCATGCACCGGGCCTCTAGTTCTATTGATAAAGAGATAAAATGCTTCACTATGGATTCAGACTTGACTCCTTAGACCTAGTGCAAAGTGTTATTTCTTTATGCAGTAAATCTAAGTGGATAACTTGTATCATACTTTCTATTTTAGTTTTTATTTTTATTAAAGCTATATATGCACAGTTTAAGGAGGCAATCAGATCTATGCTTATTCTGAAACAGCCATCTTCCAACCCTCCAGCACCAATTTCCCACTCTTCTGAGGCAAATACTTCTCATTAAATTGGTTGTTCCTGGTATTTGCTCAATATCTCTAAATAACTTCCTTCAGTGGAATTACTTGATTTTGTAGTTTCAGACATTCTTCAGTGAACTCCCAGTATGGAAGAGAAGGATTTAGGTCTATTTTAGCCCAACCTGCCCTTTCTGCCCATTCCTCCATTCTCCCCAACTAGTAATATCATAAATTTGGTTAGACAGTAGTCTATGCTTAGTTTATTATGACTCTGTCACCATTATTTATAGCTGAGCCATTAATACTTAATAATTCATCTTCCTTTCCTGCACAAGTCTGTGTTTTCCCTATGGTTTATAGTTATTCTTTTGTTATTCATTTGTTTGCTTAGTTTTCTATGTTCTGTTCCCAGAGCGCTCTAGTATCCTTTCCATGGGTTCAGAATTCTCAGATATTCCATTCATTTTGTGCTTTCAGTCTCATTACTTCTGAGTCTTCTGACCTCTAATCTGGCTAGGTTATTTTCTAAGCCTGATGGAAAAGTTTAATTTTGGAATCTCCTTTTACTGTCTTTTTTGGGATCTTTCTTCACAATTCTGAAATTTTCCCTCACTTATTATTATAGATTCTTATGAACTGGTATAATGGGTTATTGTGACATACTTTTATGTAACAAGTGGTTACTCCCTTCTTTTAGTGGAACACATCTTCCAGTAGCTTTTTGAGAAGTGGTGCATGAAAAGTAAAGTTTTTGAGACAAGCTCTTTTTTTTTTTTAATCTTCTCTTACTTTTACTGAACAATTGGTTGGACATAGACTCTCAGGTATCTTCAAAATTATCTTCTAGCTTCCAGTGCTTTTGTTCAGAAAAAAAAAGCCATTCCAGTTTTCACCCTTTGTATATAATTCATTCATATATTCCCTCTCTCTCTCTCTCTCTCTCTCTCTCTCTCTCTCTCTCTCTCTCTCTCTCTCTCTCTCTCTCTCTCTCTCTCTCTTCCTAGGATTTTTCTGTGCCTCCATATTCTGAAATTACTGATGACATGCCTTGGTGTACAACTTTATATCCATTGAACTGGACACTCAGAGGGCCCTCTGCTTACTCAGAAAATGCATGTCCTTACCTTCTGGAAATTTCCCTTAAATTATTTATTTGATTACTTCTATTTCTCTGTTTTCTGGAACTGCTCTGCAAGGGCTGGATGTCCTGTTTTCTGTTAAGGTGTGGGGTGTGCAGTCAGTCCCTCGTCTGCTTGAAGTGGTGGAGGAAGCCTGGGCGTTAGGCTCTTGAGCAGTCCTCCGGTTACCCTGCTTTCAGGCTCACCTTCACCCACACATCTAGAGCTTCGCCCACTTCCAGCTGAAGGACCATCGTTTCTTCTGATGTTCAATTTCCAAAATGTTGATGCTCTAATCAGCTCTTCTGTTCTTTTTCTTGCAGGCTTATGTCTTTTTTATTTTTTCCTAAAAGTAAAAATCCCTTTACTATTATCTTGCTATGATATAATGAGAAACAGCAAAAGTAATATGTGCTCAAACTGCCATCTTAAACTGATTTTTTAAAGAAATTCAGAATTGTCCAGCCAGGGTGCCTCAGTGGTTGAGCATTGACCTATGAACCAAGAGGTCACAGTTTAATTCCTGGCCAGGGCACATGCCCAGGTTTGTGGGCTCAATCTCCTGTGTGGGGTGTGCAGGAGGCAGCCAAGCAATGATTCTCTCCCATCACTGATGTTTCTCTCTCCTCCTCCTTCTCCTCCTTTCTGAAATCAATAAAAATACTCTTTTAAAGAAATTCAGAATTTATACTTGCTACATGTTTTAGCTCCATGTGTCTAATTTCAATGAATTGAGTGGATATTCACAATCTTTTGTGACCTACTAGAAAGTGAACAATATAGTCCAGTTTAGTCTATTCTGTGGCTGCTGAATGAGGACCATAGGTTCTGAGTTGACAATACAAGAAGACAAAGATAAAAGGGTAAAAAAATGCTTTGTATTTGTTCTAAAGTGATTTTTGTAGCACCCGTCCTCTTCCTGACAGCCCCATCATCTGTAATTTATATCTGCAAATATGAAACCTAACAAGGTAAAATTAGCAACAGAAAATATCTAAGTGTTCATATAACAAGTGGAAGAACGTGTTAATGGAAAGAGACGGGACTCATTATTCATTTATGGTTCTATTTAAGTCATATCTCTCATGTTATTTGAATCCAGAAAGCCCTCTCTGGTTTGACATTGCTAGTCTCTTCTCTATAGACGGACACAGCAGCCAGGGAGAGAAAAGGCACCAAAGGTTGCCTTGTCCCTGGAACCCCTTTTTCCTATTGTCTTTGGTACCACGTGTGCCTGCCATTGGTCCAGCTGGGTGTTGACATTTGCTCTGCCCTTTTCACTTACCAGGCCAAGCTCAAAGGCAGCCAGGGATAGTTGACACTTTTCTAGGAAGGTGGGAGGAAGTTGTGAGTAACATCCCAGGAAGTCATGGCATTATGGAATCTCCCCAATTCCTTTGTGAGTGTCTGCCAGCATAGAACTAACCTGCAAAGAAAAAAGAAAAAAAAATATATATATATGTTATTGATTTTTTTACAGACAGGAAGAGAGAGGGATAGAGAGTTAGAAACATCGATGAGAGAGAATCATTGATCAGCTGCCTCTTGCATATCCCCTACTAGGGATGTGCCCGCAACTAAGGTACATGCCCTTGACTGGAATCGAACCTGGGACCTTTCAGACTGCAGACCGACGCTCTATCCACTGAGCCAAACCGGTTTTGGTGCAAAAAAATTTTTTTTAATTGTAGGTATTCCTAAAAAAAAAAAAAAAAAAAAAAAAAAAAAAAGAGGTTGAAGAACATACCAAGGAGACATTATTTTTCCTTCAGAATAAAAATCTGACCCTCGTATCCCTGTCTCCCTTCCCTCCCCCATTCTCTCCTCTGTGCAGTGCCCACCCCTGGGCCTTTTATTCTCCTTTGTCTCACCCAGGGGCCTCCTTCTCCTGAAGGAAGTCTGGGCACAGCTGCTGAGGCTGCCGTAGCGTCCGGCATCATGCCTGTCAATGGCATTGGCTCAGCAGAGCCATCATATCTTCAAAGGGACACTTCCCACTGCCTAAGAACCACATTTTCTCCAGATCTTTGCAAATTGATCTTTCAAACTTCTGACTAAACCAGGGATCAAGTGCCAACCAGGCTAGGCATATTATAGAGATGAGAATAGAGTGCCAGGAGAGGAGTGCCCAGAGGCCTTGCCCATGTCCCTTCTGACGGGCAGCTTTGGGTCTTCGTTCCTCACAGGAGGTCGGGCTGAGGCAGATGTTAGAGTGTTGACAAAGGACACAGAGTATGATTGCTGATCCCATTCCCTTACAGGACATTAGGGATGCTAGGGCTGACCGATTCCTGGGAAACACGGGACTCCTCTGACAGGTGGCTGTGCACCCAAGCTCCCCCTCAATCTTCCTGAACCTTCTTCAGACTGCCCTGCCACCTGCGATGCATCCACCCAACCTGCCCACTGTCTTTTACAGATCAGACCCGAGCCATGTTGGGTGGCACTCCCAGCTTGCTTGACTGCTTCCCCATTTTCTCTCATGCGCTCATCCCCTGATACAATTGTGGCAGGTGCTTTCCAGAAGGTCCAGATGGATACACCTGAAGATCTTCAATAAATTCATATTGACTGGCCAGACTGACTGGTCGAGGACAGGAGAGAGAAATACTAGGCTGTGTTTCAGGTTTATCACTGGCTGGGGCCACCAGGAGCCAGTTTTTTTTTTTCATTTGCACCCATTGGATGTCCTGCTTCTTACTGTCTTTTCCCCTTTTCCTTCAGGTGGTGGCTCTGTCCTCCTGGTGCCTGCTGAGGGATTCCGTTTACTACACGCTGTCTGTGGTCGCACTCATTGTGGTAAGTGTGTGGGGGACAGCTCGCCTGAATTCCCTTACCGTGAGCTCCCGAACACCCTTCCTACTACTCAAGGTTATGTGCAGCTCCTCTGCATGGTGACATGAGCAGATGGATGTCTATGCCTGGAGACAGTCTTTCTCTCTTCCAGTCTTTCTTTGACCAACCAGCACCCCTCCTCTGATAGTTGGTGCTCAAATAAGAGTGGCACCTGTGGTTATCTGGTTGCATGAGAGCCCCTGCTGTTTTCCTGTGATCTCCTGACATTCCCTCCCTCTTTCCTCACGGGCTCCTCTGTAACTCCTTACATCATCACCATCCCTGGATCTGGATCTTCTCCCTCTCACTCTGTACGCTCTCCCGGGACTGCCCTGCTCTTCCCACAGCACCCGTCGCCATTAGCACCTTTGCGCGGATACCCCTACCAGTGTCTTCACAGTGGCAACTCCCTGAGGTCCAGCCATGGATTAGCAAACTCTCTACTGGAGATCTTCACACCCCAAACTCAACATGTCTCTAAACTGATGACCATTTTCCAAGACCAGCCTCTTCCTGTATGTCTGCCCCCATTCCTTTCCTGCCACCCAGCCTGGGAATGATTAAACACACCTTTCCCCCAACTGCCACTATGCTCATTTGGCTTACTTGTCCTGTGGCTCCTCATCTTGCAAAAATCTCCCCAGTGTGTTCTCCTTTACCCATTAGTTGAGGCTTTTTACATCTCTGGCCTGAGCAGATGGGCCCAGGCCAGTGTTGCAATGAGTAGTGTCTCTGTCCCGCTCCTCTCACCACTCCCTCAATCCATCCCAAGTGGTATCTTTACAGAGAACACCTGGGAATGGACCCCTTGTTGCAATGGTCAGTGGCTCTATGTCGGCTGTGGGGACAAACCCAACCCCTCAGCTTGGCAACCACGCTGTCCCAGAGAAGGCTGGCAAATCAGAAAGAATTGAAATGGGAATTGGGAGATCTAACTTCTAATTCTGGGCCCCGCCTCCAGTGTCCCTGGAGAAACCAATCTCTCCGGGTCATATTTTTCTTACCTACGGATCACAGTGAGGGTCTTGGGTTAGAGGCAAGTCCCCTCATTACAGGGCCATTGATAATGGGGAGCGTGAGGCCTATCCTAAGGACCTGGAGACGCTGTTGAGTCCCTGGTTAGGAGACTTAAGGACACACTTGACTCTGTGTTCTTGTTCTTAATTATAACCCATGGAAACGGTATGAGAACCCCAAATCTAGAAGACTCTTCTGCTCACCAAGCCCACTCCTGTCTGACACTCTCCGCAGAGATGCAGGAACCGCATTGATCACGTGCACTATGCTCCTCCATCTCGGGTATTGTAGGATATTTCTGAAAATTACTTTTTCAAGGAGGCATGGTTAGGGGGAGATGTAAGGAACGCAGCTGTCTACTTTTGCTGAATTCCAGAAAGAGATGACCATGCTCAGAAAGGCAATGTGATGTGGCCAACAGCCCAGGCCAGCGTGGCCAGAAGCACAGACCTGGCCGTGTCCACTCCCCCAAGCAGACGCGCTGGCCTCAGCTTCGTTCTCACTTTTCAGCATTGACACCTCCTGGTCTGTGTGTGAAATAGCTTGTATTCTGTACAATTCATCTGGATGTGTTCGAGATGAAACAGAAGTACTTGCTGTGAATGATGTGTTAAGTGAGGAAGTAAAGCAGTTTTGCGGCTTCAGGCTGCAGGTGCCATTCGCTTTGGGCAAAGCCATCTCTGCCCCCCTGTGCAGGGGTGAATGGCAGAGCTGAGTGGACATTCCGGCTGCCGGCAGTTCTGCATCCCCCTCATGGCAAGGATGTGCAAAAGCAAGCAATTCCTTGCAGTTCCCTGAAGGTGAACTGTGTTTAAAGACCAGATTTCAAGAGTTCTGTGTTCTGAGAAAAATTACATTTCTCCCTGTTAAGAAGAAATGGGGAAAGGCAAGTTTGGGTCCTCAGGGCTTGGGCTTGGTTCTTGCTTTTTTAACTGGCCCTCCGCCAACTTCAACTTCAGTGTGCCCTGGACACGCCCAGCATGCTTACTCAAAATGCACACCCGGAGGTTGTAATCCAGCAGGTTCTGGGGCAGCACCCAAAAATTTGCACTTGCCCCAGGCCCCTCTCCCCCTCCCCAGGTGGTTCTGATGCTAGCACCACACTGCACTTCGAGAAACGGAACTTCACATACCAGCGGGCACCATTTCCTCCGGAGACCTGGATATCCAGAAAGCTGGTTGTTGCATGGCCATGACCATTTCTAGAGTAAACATTGATATTCTCAAAAGCAAGGCATAGTGGCAGCGTGGCTGAATTTCTGACTACTGTTCATCCCCGGGGTCATTATCACACAAAACTTAAAACCAGCATGCAGGGTAGAAGTTTTATACCCAGAAGACAGTGCTTAGTGGCACTTAGCAATGGAGGCTTCTCAGTAACCCCAATCTGTTCCATGCCCAGCACTATGCTGCTGCTGCTCACACATGCGGTGTTTTTTGTCAGGGTTTCCTGGTCTCCTCTTTCTGTGTTCCCCTAATGTCATGGTAACAAAATCACTTTCCTTCTGGCCTTCCTTATATAATCCTAAGCTTCTCTACAGAACCCTGCTGTGGACATTTAAAATTCCTGAACTTAAAAGCCTTTCCTTTTATCCACAAATAATTACCAGTCACCTGAAGAATTTATTTTAACCATTGGGGTTTCCCCCCACTTCCCCTTTTTATGGTTCTGAATTGTTCAGAAGACTGAACTGCTGGTCCCCTGAGGTGATGCAAAGAAGAGCTAATTTACCCGAGGGCAAGTCTGGACTCAGTGAGACGGGATGCCAGTTCTGTATATATGTCCCTGGGCTCAGTCCTTCAGGCCCAGCAGAGGAGCCTGAAGGACAGCCCCCAGGGCCTAGGATCCAAAAAGAGGGAAAGATGACTTCTCCAGGGATGCTCATCACCCCTGGGCCCAGAGGGTGCTAATAGAGTCGGTGCTACTTGAATCCTAAAACAGCTATAGAGTCCTGGAAGTTGATGCAGATGGACCCAGCCAAGAAGGAAAACCATGCGAGTAAGACAAGTGCATGCATTCTGAGACCAGCAGAGTGTTTAACAGCTCACTTGGAGGCGAAGGACTCAGTGCACTTTGGTAGCTGCTCTGTGCTGCTTTCTGGTGTTCTCGTTGTCAATTTTTAGGGAGAGAGCAGAAGAAATTAAGAAGATGGTATTGCCTAAAGCAGTTATAATCTCACAAATGGACAGTGTGTGCTTCAGAGCCTTTCCCCTGTAGCCCTCGTGATGTTCTCTGCAGCGAAGCTTCCGGCATTGGAGAAGCAGGATGTGGCCGGGAAGGTCGCCCATGACCTTGGTCTCTAGAAGAGGAGTCTCACCTTTTAGACCAGGGAGTATCCTGGGCTCTTTAGAGTAGGTCCCTTCTACCCAATAGTCTCCTGCTGCTTCGCTGCCTCCCCCGTCACTCCCTACTTGGACTTTCACCACAGACAGCTCCAGCCCAGACTCCTATCCTTGCTTCAAACTCCAGCAGGCCCCACAGTCTTCTTATTGAAATGTTACTGTAATTTACATAATCATGCAATTTACATAAATGCAAATGGTTCATTACATCCTCAGTCTAACAGCTGCCCTAAAAGGAATACTTTATTTTTACCCTTCCTCTTTGCTTTGAGACTGGGGACGTGAGCCTTCAAGAGAAGGGAACTCTCCGTGGAATCGATAGGCCTCAGACAGCTCCAGGATAACATGGATGGGGTCACAGATCCAGACTGGGAAGTGCTGGCTCCCTGGGGAAGGGCCCTCGAGCCATTAGCACCAGTTGGGAGGCCATCTGAGCAACCAGAGCACTGGCATAGAAATGAGGCTCACTGCCCTCTCACCCTCTCTCTGTCTCTTTCTCTCCCCTGCCTCCCCAGAGGGCTCATTGCAATCTCCCCTCTAGAGGTGATTCTGTGGGGACAAAAAGAGATGAGTCAGTGACTGCCAGAGGTGGCCTAGCAGCACTGTCCGTCACTAGGCATGTGGCTACTGAGGTCTCAAAATGCAGCTAGTGAGACCACAGGCCTAAAATGTTGACTTAATTCATTTACATTTGTGTAGCCATAGGTGACTCGTGCCTATCATACTGGATAGCACAATTGTAGAGAACAAATTCTCCCATAGAAAATAGACCTACATTCTCACAGCATCTGTGAGTGTTAGCAAGCGTGGTCTCCATACTTAAGACAGGATGGAGGGTTCTGTTAGGTCTGTTGACGATTTCCCAGTTCAATACTCCTGACAATACAAGCTAGCTACTACTACAGGAGTCCAATTTTAGCAAAGCTGAGGCTCCAAAAATTCAAGTATTTGCCAAAAGATCAGGTTTACCGGAACAGGTGTCTAAGATGACACATCTACACCACCCCAGCAAAAAATTAGGATTTTCTCTCCCATAAAATCTGCCTTTCTGTCTCTGAAATCCTCCTGATGTTACTTCAGCTGCCATGCAATCTGCCCTAGAGAGGTGTGTCTATGGCACTTACCCTTACATTTTTAGATGGAAGAGAATAGCGTACCCCCACTCCCTTCCCCCAACCCTTTCAACTAATGTAACACTTCCAGAAATGTTCTCATTGGCCTTTCTTGAGAAAAAGACATCTTATGGTCATGTGGATAGCTGTCCTTAACGGCCCTGCACCCCTGGCTCCTCACCCTCTTACCCACCCACAGCCCCACCGCTGTCAAGCCTGCCTGCCAGAGGTGCTAATGGCCAACTCCCAACTCCCCTTCAGCCTTCCAGTGCAAACGGTGCCTAGCAGCAGCTTCCTGGCGAATTCCATCTGATTCCTCCTCGGATGGAATCGCATTGGCTAAGCTGTCTACACCCCTGGTCCCTGCAGCTCAGGAAGTCAGGACTCCATTTGGGCACCTCTGAGGGTGTCTCCACGCTGTCATGGGCGGAGTCTGGGGGCAGGGGGGCAGTTTTATTCCCAGCAAAGGAGGGGAGATTGTCAAGGCTTTGGTCTCTTGAAAGAGAATGATGGCGTTGATTTCTATTATTTTCTCTGCGTAAAATTCTAACGGGGCCAGTGGTTATAATACCAGTAAGGCAGTCTTAGCTTCAGCAATGCAGCTGCCCTGCTCCATGGTTACAGCCACAGGGAGCAGACCCAGGGGTTGGCACGCAATGCGGGGACAGCCACCTGCCACCCTGCACAGAGCCCGGCCAGCCTCTCCACTCCTGCTCACACACCCAGGCGAATCCTGGCTCGTCTTTTCCCTCCTGTGCCCTCTTGGATGTGCCATTCCCTTCGCAGTTCCCCGGGATGTTCTAACCTCCACGGATCCACCTGCCTGATGGAAGTCTTCTCTCGGAAGACTTCTAGAGCAGACACCAGGTCGGATGAGCTGGTTTCCATGGAACCCAATTGTTTCTCTGAAGCCCGGAGGAAAAGAGAAATGCACTCCTGTGGGATCCCATTTAATTCTGTCTGTGGAACACGTGCAAAGCTCTAGTCTAGGCGAAGCCAAAAGAGGCTCTGGATGAACCACGGGTGGGTCAGAGAGCAGGTGCCCTGGCCAGCCATGCACGGCAAAGCTGGGACCCAGAGAGCAGTCAGCACTGCCCACATGTGGCCACAGCGGGCAGAGCCAGTGCCTCGCCCCAACGCCCCCAGCACAGCTCTCAGAGCTGCTTTCCCAAGGCCGGCCTGTTTTCAAAACTCCGGCTGGGAAAAGAGTGAGCCGGTTCTGAAGGGACCCAGCAGATCCCTCAGCCTCAGCGCATCAGGAGAATTGAGTGTTCGCATAAGATGAGGGACCCACCCACCTGTCCCCAGTTCAGAACTCCAGCAGGAGCTGCCTCCAGAACCTCACCTTGGCCTGAGACCGACAGCAGTGGGTTGCTGAAGGCCCCTCAGGAGGCTGCCTGCCTTGAGGCATTTGCCCTCTTTCCAGGAGATTTAATGGGCTTGGACTGACTTCATTTCAAACCTCGCTGCCTTGGCAGAGAGACAAGCCTGAGGGCTGTGCTGCGATCGCCATCTAGTGGTCGCTGGGTGGAACTGGGGCGCGGTCTCTTGTTTCAGACAGGACATAAAATTGATTTCCTACCCTAGTAATGCCGCTGGAATGGATGGGGGAGGTTATTTTGTCTTCTTTTACTCGCAGAGAGAGTATGATGATACCAAACGGTATGCAACACTTGTCTTAAAAGAATAAAATAAAGTCTGTAAGGAATAACCAATCCCTTCCTTAACCATCAGCAGCATGCCCTTGTCATTTTAAGAGTTTTCAGACAGGCTGATTCCAACACTTCTGAAGGATGGACTCTCAGGGGACACTCTGTGACCAGTGCCGAGGTCCTCATTTTCAGCCTTTGAATGACAATCATCTGGTACTCGGAGGCGGCTCATAACTCACCCCCCACCTCCTCTCTCACCATAAACAAGCCAATTTCCATTTGAATTTTCATAAAGGCCTGGTTTCTATTTCCTTTTATCCATTTTATTGTTCTTTTTTTAATTCTCTCCTTTTTCTCCCTCCCTCTCCCTCTCCCTCTCCCTCACCCTCTCCCTCTCTCTCTCTCTCTCTCTCTCTCTCTCTCTCTCTCTCTCTCTCTCTCCCTCCCTCCCTCCCTCCCTCCCTTCCTCCCTCCCTCTCTCTTTCTCTCTCTCAGTTCTCTTAAAGTAATGGGGCAACATCCAGACTGTTTGCTTATTAGCCACAGGGCAGCTAAGGCCTCCTGTCAGAGTGGTCAGGGGTGAGACATTACTGTGTCTGTTACTTGGAGTATTGCAGATTGCGCCATTTTAGCGAGATCATGTGCATTTCTCTTTCTCTGTCCGCCTTTCTGAACCATAATCCCCCATCCCTCCCCCAGCCATAGGTATCACCTGGACATCTGGCCCAGGAAGCTCCATCCTCAATTGCATATCTTATCCTATGTTGTCCCGATTTGCCCCACTGTTTCTTTGATTTATGGTGCTCCCATAAATTCTGTCCTCAGTTTGGGATCCACTGTACAATTAAACCCATTCTGATGTTTTTATTGATATGATCATTGAAATGATAGCTAAAGATGTATTGACCTATGCCCCCATGCCAGACAAATCACACAGAATGTAGCTTTTCTAAAAGCTACATTCCTATTATAGAGGACAGCCTGCCTTCCCTGAGAATGAAAATCAAATTGGTGCTCTAATAAACCCTTTACCCGTATCTAGTGTCCTTCTAAGTGGCTGTGAATTGATTGTTCAAGCCCACTGCTTAAGACTGATATTGAATTAACTTCAATTAATAGAAAACATTTTCTAACTTAAATCATTTTTTCTGCTAGTGATTTCTTGAAAGCAATTCTTTTAAAGCTAGTGATTATACAGAAGCATCCGTAACCGCCTTCCAGAAAGTGGATTCCAAACCATCCAGTCCAGGCTACACCATTGCTTCTTCCATTGCCTTAGTCCTCTTCCCTTTCCAGTTTGACACTTTCATCCAGTGTCACTCTGTTGACATGATAACAATGACAAGAGTCACCAACCTGATGGAGCCAAGATCTTTTTCAATGTCTCTGAGGAATACGAGTTGCAAATAAGTGTGCCCATTTCTCCTCGCCCCTCTCTCTGCACCTGCAGGGTCATTGGAGGAGGGTCCTTGGATGTGCCTCTGCTCTGGACCCTGTAGGTCTTTGTGGTGGTTTCCTCTGCATCTCTCACAACGGATGGTCATTGTCGCTGGGGACTGAAGCCAGCCCATGTCATTAACTGAGTTCATCATCTCCGTGCAGTAATGACACTGTACACCCAGACTGTCCTGCAAGGTCTACCTTAGGGTTCCCATTGGCCATTGCCCCCTGAAGGAAAAGCCACTCAGATGTGGTCCCACTCCAAGCAGTCACATCAGTGAGTGACCAGCTCTCGGCTCCTGCTTGAAGGAAAGACAGGTGCACCATTCAGTTTCAACAATGGGCTGTCTGGGCAAATAAGTCAGGTAGAGCGCACCAAGTTAGGAGCCGGGTCCGGGTTCTAGAACGAACACTGCAGCAAATTCGGCACCGCAAGACAATGGTTCATGTTCTCAGTGACTCAATTTTCCTGTCAAAATCAAAGGACTTAAATTATACCAGTTTTTTTGCCCCCAAATGAGAAATGATTTTAGATGATATAAGGTCTAGGGCAGTGGTCAGCAAACTCATTAGTCAACAGAACCAAATATCAAAGTACAACGATTAAAATTTCTTTTGAGAGCCAAATTTCTTAAACTTAAACTTCTTCTAATGCCACTTCTTCAAAATAGACTCACCCCAGGCCATGGTATTTTGTGCAAGAGCCACACTCAAGGGGCCAAAGAGGCCCATGTGGCTTGTGAACTACAGTTTGCCGACCATGGGTCTACGGCTTAATTCAATCCTACTTTGTATTCTCTTTGGTCTTAACTGGTCAGGAGAAGTCTCCACTTAGTACTTGTGTGTCTTACACTGCTCAACCCTTGCTAACAACCTTCTTCAACAAAAGGGCAGGCCTGTGACCCAGAGCCTTGGCAGCCAGGATCCCAGTCACTGTTGTCAGGCATTTATTTTTACCTTCTGCACGGGGTCGCAACTGGTGCTGATTCTCAGCTTCTGGCTGTGATGTAAAGTTTCCTTTGAACGTAAATTCTTCTAAGGATATAGGTCAACTGAAAGAAAGGTGTTGAGTACAAAGAATTCCAAATGTTTGTGTAAAAGCTTGAAGGAGCTGTACAGTACACAGAGACATACACACGTCTCACAGGTGGCCCAGAGTGGCGGGGGTGTGCAAAGCCCCTGCCAAGCGCCTACATCCCTTCCAGACGTAAAATTCTACAGAACATCTTGCTCTACACAACAGCCAGTCATGCTTCCCTCACAATCCACTATTGGACAGAAATTTCAGGAAGGATGGGATGACCTATCGCTTCTCCCCTCCCCATCATGTCCACGCCAGTCTGCCAACAGCACCTCCTTCCACTAACACTGGCCACAGACTAAACCAGCAGAGAGGGGAGCTTGCCCACAGGCTTCATGTGCCAGGCCAGCCCCACCCCAATTCTTACCAAGCAGCAAGGGCAGACTGTCATAAAGCATGCTTGCACATGTGCGTGTCTAATCTATCCCTTTTCCCCCCACAGTTCATTTACGATGAACAAGTTTCCTGGTAAGTACCTCTCTTTCCTTCCAACGTTCCTTGTTATGTTGCAGAGCCAAATATATGGAAGACCAGATTCAGGGTTTATGGAAGAAATGGGTCATGTCACGACAATTTGGAGCAGTTAGCACTTCTCCAGAACCCTCTGTCCACTTCCATAAAGGAATTATATTAGCTGCACAGAGCAGAGGTCTTTGCCTTAGGCTGGGTGGTGGGTTTCCACTCCTAATATCACATGTCTTCATCCTCCAGGTTAGATGCGTGACTTAGCTGTGCCTTTCTGCACTCAGCTATTGGCTGTGCTGTAGTTAAGACTTGACTAATCTTTCCAACTTGTGTCCAGACCTTGTTGGCATATTCCACATTCCGCCCAGAACCCAGGGGGTGAGGGGGGTGAGGGGGAGGAGGCACTTCAGTGACCTCCAACCCATAAAGTTGTGCCTGACATTTCGGAAGATCTTAGTGCTCTGGAAAGTCAGTGGTTTTGTTTTGGATAGATTTTTTTTTTAATTGCCCAAATTAAATACCTGGGAACCTTTGTATTTGAGCCAACTCTCCAAATCCCCATTTTTGAGATGAGTTCTAAGCAAGTCAAATCTATTTGAAATGGAAATGGAAATTGGGTGCATTGTCCGTTCTTGTTATTTTTTTTTTTTTTTTAAGATTTGATCTATTGAAGTAGAGTAATGTGAAATAACATCTTAGGAATAGATAGGGGTGGTACTGTATTATTTAAAGTTAAGAATGAACTAGAAAACAAAGCATAGAGTTCACCAGGCTCCCCTCCCAGCAAAATGGGTGCCAATGCTTTGTTAGAGAGACATCTCTGTGTCCTGGGGTATCTCTATGACTTTCAGAATGTGGAAGTGGGGATAGGGGAACTGATCATATTGATGGAAAATGTTATACGCTAGGCTAGGGCATTTGCCAACTCTTCTCTGTCCAGAAAGGGTGAGGAGGAGATGGCTTGGAGAACTTGCTTTAAGACACATTCATAACCTCTGTATTGACCCATAAAAAATAAGAAGGAGGTCCTCTTTGAGTAACAGTGATCAATAGGCTGAAAGGGATTAAGACACCCAGGATCACATCAGGTCAGAGGTCAATAAGTCAGGGAGAACCTTCTTGTGGGACCCACCAGGACATGGTCATCAGATGGAGTGGTGACATTTTCCCCACGCCCTGGCAAAAAATTCTCACTGCATCTGATGGCAGCGTCAGCATAGCCACTGCTCTGCCTTAGCAAACAGTGGGTGCTCAACATGTTGCTCAGTGTTGTTGCTGTCATAAAGACAAACACATGATCACAGTTGAACTCAGAAATGTTTCTGATGCCTTTGTGTGGGAATCCTTCAGAAAGGAGATCTTGGCAGTTCTGCTGTCCGTCAGTCTTAAGGAGCTCTCTTTGCAGCATCTCCTTGGCCTCGCTGATGGCCACCATGGAGGTGAATATAGGGTTCATGCTAAGCCTATTTCAGTCCTTGCCCTCAAAACATCTTTCCAGGTATTTCAGATGGAGTGGAGCAAGAAAGGGACCATCTAGTTCCTCTTCACTCCCAAGGCTGAACCCCCTGTGATGTCAGGTGACCCCATCCTCAGGTAGCACTCAGCCTTGCAGCAAGGCTGTACGTGGCATCATGATGAGGGAATGGGAGGCCACAGATAAGTGAGTTGCACATTCCCAGTGTGTTTTGTTCAGCCTGGAGTGGGTTCGCATCCTAACTCATGCACAGGCATAGCTTCAGGAAAGAAGTAGGGAGGCTTTTGTGGCACCGGAACATTATCTCCAGATGCCAGCCTGTTATTGTTATTATGTGGATGGGCTGATGAAGAACATTTTTCACGGGAGTGAGGCTGAGAAATTAGTCTGAGCTGCTGGCCCATAACTGCTTTGGGAATTCCAGGGATTCCAGCTCTTCATGTGAGAGCAAATTATATTGCACTTTAAGATAGTTGTGGCTTGTCCACACCTCAGCCCTTTTTACCCAGCCAACCATGAGCATTTGTTTTGCTAAGAGGGTGTGTCTGGGAGTTGATGTCTCTCGTTAAAGCCAGATTCTTCAATCTGTGCAATGAGAGCACAGTCATATTTCAATGATACTGCAAACAGTGGATTCCACTCCTTGTGGTAGAACCTCCCAGCATGTCTAGAAGTTTCAAGGAAGGTTACCAATCTACTCCAAATCTGCAGAAGGAAACTAACTTCATTAGTGTTTAATTTGAAACTACAGTTCTCTTTAGGAAGAAATGAACCTTGTCCAATACAAATACACAGGGACAAGGTACCTTCGTCCTACACAGTTGAGGTTCCTTCGCTGCTCTGAGGTGGCGGCCTGCAATGAGTCACATAGCTGACAGATGGTACTCAGAAAGCTTTTAGTAGCAGGTGACAGGAAAAACCAGTGATTGGAGATTAAAGAATGCTGGTTTGTGTTTCTTATATGGTAAGTACCCCAGGTTTGGGTAGGGCGATGGCTCTACTTTTCTCTTGGCCTTTTCCTAATGGCCCCCAAAGGGCTGCTGCAGGGCCAGCCATCAAGTTTGGATTGAAGGCAAGAAGAAGGAAGGTGCTATGCCTACCTTGCATCTCTTTGGTCCCAGTTGGATCTGCCTTGACCAATGAGTGGACAGGGGAAATAGAAATATAATTTTAGACAAATCATTATTTATCCTGGGACTAGGCCCACCCTCCTTGAAATTGAAGGGTTACTGCCTCAACATAGTGGGGTTTAATTTGCAGGCCAAAGGCAGAGAAGAATCTGTCACGTGCTTTCCAGTTATGTACCTGCTGTAAAAGACATATAACATACAAAGCATCCACCTATTAGGATGTATGTTCAGCCTGCAGAGCAAGGCTCATGAATCCATGATGATGGCTCAGCAAGGCCCACAATGTTGCCAGAAGGAATCCAAACTGTGGCTTCAGTGGGTCTGAAGGTCTAACAAGAAAACGAAAGGATCCAGGGTATTTTTATTTCTTCTTTGAGCCTCAGGTTGTGACTTAGGGAGACAAAGGAGAGTCTGAGAACACAGCCCGGAGGCTGTCCACCTGTGTCATATGGAGGCCAGCCTTCACTGTTCTGGACCATAGTTAGGGAAGTGGAGCCATGCCCTACAGGCAAGAAAAGGGACTGCCCTCCAACACGGAAATCTTTGGCAGGAGAATCAGGGCCAGTTGAAGGTGACTCAAAACAGACGTTTGGGAGAAGGGAAGAAACAAACCCGGATCATACTACAGGACCAGGTCCTCCAAGGACAGCGGCTAGGCTGTGGTCAGGAGAAGAGCATCCTGGGGAAGAGGGGGAGGAGAGCTGTGAGCTTTTAGAGGTCTGCAGGCAGAGTCCGTCAACTCCACCGCTGTTCCCTGAGCATCTTTTGGGCGCCAGGCTTTGTTCCAGAACTAGACACAACACAGAAAGCAACTCAGCCCGGACCGTGAGCTCTCTGGGCTAGAGGAGAGGCAGACAGGAGACATGTAATTAAGTCATTTGGAGACATGCACAGGACACGGGGAGAGATCCCAAGAGCACTGAGCCAAAACTTGATCATCAGACACTCAATCAGGCCCCAAAGCAGAGGGAATGAACGGGAGATATGGCAGCAGAGAGGCCCCAGAGAACCCGGTGCATCTTGTAGGGGAGCGCTGGGTGAACCCTGAGTCTGAGCACAACAAAGCAAACCTGAAATATCAACACAAGCAGGGAACCCCCATGTCATGGGCATCCTTGAACCATGACTGAAGATAACCTTACTCGAATATTGCAATGAAAGGACTTGCTTAGAGTGAAAAGTCAAAAAGATCTAAAGGAATTGGAGAGTATAACTATTTAGAAGATGCTAGACTTAATTCAACTTAACAAATATTTCATTGATGTTGGTTCATTTACTGGTGACTCCTCACTGAGTCTGTTAAAATATATTGTAGCGATTCCATGACATCCCTTTAGATCCTGGGTATATCTTCTCTTAAAATGAATACTGTGAATAAAACCTCATTTTCCCCAAATAAGTAGATGCCACATCTATGTTGGTTTCAATAAGATAAGAGCCCTCTTCAGGCCACTGGGAATGTCTTGCAATTGAAAAGCTATGTTTGGAAGCAGTTCCACCCTGCACAGAGGAGCTGAGGGGGAAGGAAGGTGTCTCCCGGCTGGGAAATGAGCTGTCCAGATGTCTGTTTTAAGTGTCTGAAAACGAGAAACCATGTAGCTGAGGTAGGGGCTAGGTGTGAAAACTGCTATCCAGTGACTGCTAGGAACAGGCATTATATATTAATAAGTCATGAGTAAATAAGACACAGTCTGATCAGAGGTCTAAAGAACATAAGCAAAGTCTTGTGATAGAAGGTGAAGCAAGAGTAGGCAGGGTAGACTTCTTGGAGGAAGCAACCTTTAAGCTGATATTTGGAGGATGAAAGGGACCAGATATGAGTGGAAAACATTACAGGCAGATGGAACAGTAATGGAAAGGCTCTATGGGGAAGGAAAAAGCTTGAAATGTGCGAATGAACGGAGGCCAGTCTGGTGAAGCAATTCAGGACCCACAATGATTTGGAGAGGAAGAAAACAGAACCAGGATTTGCACCTTTTTTTACTCCTCAAGAACTTTGGGAAACAATTGAAAAAATTTAAGCAGAAGAATGACATGACCCAGTTGCATCAAGGAAGCCAGTTTTCAGAGGCTAGAGTTTAGGTAAAGTAGGGAGGTAGCACTGGAGAGGGCAGAGCTGGCAGTTCAGGAGATATCTGGACATAGAATCCTGATGGACATGGGTGAGGATAAAGGAGCGCTCCAGGCTGGTTTCCAGATCGGGGCCCTGACTGAGCAGGCAGTGGAACAGTGCACTAAGATGGCAAAGCTCAGGGGAAAATGAAGCTAGGAATGAAGAATTCCATCTGAGATGCATTGAGATTCCACATGGAGAGGCCATACTGACAGCTGGATACATGAACCTGAAGCTGGGCAGAGGTGTGGGGTGGATGTGTCACCTGGTCTTTGTAGCAATAGAACAAGATGATATCACCTAGGAAGACCGTGTGGGTAGAAAGAGAAGAGTCCCATAGTCAGAAGCTGAACTGAGGAAATGGAGGAAGCAAAGGGGATGGGAAAGGAGAAGTTAGGAGAAGTAGGAGTGTGGCCTCTTGGAAGACAGGAGCAGAGTGTTTGACGAAGGAGGGAGAGTAGTTAACTCTCAGATGCTGCAGAGAAATAGAACAGGATGACAAAGAACCGTCCCTGGAGTTTGTAGATAAAGGGCACAGGTGCCTTTGACAAGAGTTTCAGGGCATTGACAGATTTGGGAGTTGGACTAGAGAAATTTGCTAAGAGAATGAAAGGTTCTGGAAGGTAGTGTAGCAAACCTTTGTGAAGAAGCCAAGACACATAGCAGAAGTTCAAGGGATTTGGACACCCTGATTCTTTCTCTCAGTAGCATAACAAGCACTTTCTATAATAAATACATAAGTATTTGCATAATCATTCTTAACTGATGCGTGGCAGCCCATTGTATGAACATGCTTATCATAACATACGCATGTAAACATTTTGCTTCCTTCCAACACTTCACTTTTATAAACACTGCAGCGAAAACCCTTGTATGTGCATTCTTTTTTATTTAACCACATATTTATCTAGGATCAATTTCTAGACAAGAAAAGGAAAAAGGAAAGAAAGGAATAATCTACAATTTCTTCATAGACCATTCTTTAAGAACTTTTTCTAGAAGCCAATTGGTTAATTGGTTTCCAGTTGGTTAATTTTATTCTACAACCAAAAGGAAGCCTAGATATCAAATTCCCTTATTTTTTAGTTGGAAGTTATTAAAATAAAGGCAGTGGAAGTGTTCAAATTATCAGAATTTTTAGGTAAATTTCAGTGGGTTTCATTATTTTTTGTTTCCTTTGACTATGTTCCCACTTGTTCATTCTTATCCTTCCTGTTGACATCTTCCCTGCCAAGTGTTTCTCTCTCCCTCTCCCTCTCCCTCTCCTTCTCTGTTCTCTCTTTCTCTCTTTCTGCCTTGCTCCTTGGTTGTCCCTATCAATTCCTCTCATTGGCTTTCGGTAAATATATTTAGTTTTTAGTGAGCTTAAGCTGTGGACAGATTTATAAATAGAGGCCTGTATTCAGCGATATTATGGAAGGCTTGCTGTGTTCAAAGAACGAGTTGGGGTAAGTGAATCGCAGAGGAAGAAGCATTTATTTCCCTTTCAAGGAGAAAAAGAGAAAGGTCATTGAAAGCTGTATGCAGTCCGGAAAACATCTTCGACCAGGGAATATTTGTAAGCAGTCTGCACGTCTGCCTTACCCTTGCCATGCTTGGCAGGTTTACTGCCCTTCCCATTGATGACATTTTTTAAAAATAGGCCTGTGTGTTGCACATGTGCCTATGGTGATTTGCTTTAACTAGCCTTTCTTGGTTGTGTACACAGGTGGGAGTCTTTAGTCCTCGTGCTGATGTATTTTATCTACATTATCATCATGAAGTAAGTAAAATGCTTTCTTAGTTTCCTTTCCAAGACTGTTTTCTACATTCAGCATTATGTGATAATGTGGAAAGAGGGACAGGGGAGAGGGCAGGGGTCTGGCTGGCTCTCGCTGCGTGTGGTCACAGACTCACTTGGCTCCCTGGGCAACCTGCTATGACCGCTGCAGCTCTGGCAGTGGCCATAGCCAAGATCCTTCCAACCCAGGCGTGATGATAGAATCAAAGCTTCAGTTTAATTTGAAATTTCTCAAGCGAAAACTCTCTTCAAGGCCTGGCAACCTAGGTTTGGGCTGTTTCTTCACTCTCTTTCATAACAAGAAAGGAGGTAAAACTTAATTACTTATGCTTCTATATAGGAAAAGAGAAGGGACCAGAGCTAATGAAGAGAGGACTAAAACCATGGTTGAAAATTTCTATGGACTTCTATTATTCACGTGGTTATCTAGGACTGTGTAACAAATGATCCCAAAACTTAGTGTCTTCAAACCACAAACGTGTGGTGTCTCATACAGCTTCTGAGAGCTGGTCATCCAGGAGCAGCTGGACTGGAGGGTTCTAGCTCAGGGTTTTCATGAGATTGCGGATAGAAGACTGTCCAGAGTGGCCATCACCTTGTTGACGGTGCTCCAAGGTGGCCTGCTTGCACGGCTGGTGAGCTGATGCTGGCTGTCGGCTGCAGGCCTCAGCTCCTCACCATATGGGCCTCTCTTTAAGGCCACTCGAGTGTCCCGCACACAAGCACTCAGGGAGAGAGCAAGAAGGACCCCACATTGCCTTTTATAATCTAGTCCCACGAGTCACATACCAGCACTTTTGTCATACTCTGTTTATTAGCAGCAAATCACTAAGTCTAATCCACACTCAAGGGGTCTACTTTGCCTTTTGAAAGGAAGAGTGTCAAAGAATTTGTGAATATATTTTAAATCCAACACATCATATATATTTTTTTTCCTCTTAGAGTTACTTCTTTTATCAAGAATTACACTGTAGCCTGGCCAGCTTGGCTCATGATTGAGCATCAACTTATGAAGTAGATCACGGGTCGATTCCCAATTAGGGCACAGGTTGCAGGCTCGATCCCCAGTGTGGGGTGTGTAGGAGGCAGCCAATCAATGGTTTTCTCTCATCACTAAGGTTCCTATTCCTCTCCCTCTCCCTTCCTTTCCAAAATCAAGGGGGGGAATTTTTTTTTTTTAAAGAATCACACTGCAAATGTTCCCCATACTCGAAGGTAAAATGTAAGCACCAGGGTTGTGAACCTGCTGGGTCATCGTTTTGCCAAGTACCATTGGGATGAGGAGCTTATAAACAGTGCAGAGACCTTCAGTGCTGCAGCCGCCAGCCCCCATGGGAGCAGTCTCTATTCTTCTAAATTAGCCCATATTTTCCTCAGCATATGTGACTGCAGGAGTGGCTTCTTTTCCAGGGGGCAAGAAACTAGAAGGCCTTTAGGAGCTGCCAGTTTGCTCATGGCAAGGAGCAGGCTGGAACTGGCATGTCTAGGTTTTCTTGCTCTGAGGCCTGACAATAATTAGTTCCAGCCTCTAGTGGCCAAGAGCCCCGTTCAGAGGAATCAGTGTGGCCTCTGGCAAAGGTCACCTGAACTGTGAAGGCAGGAGCTGGCTTGGCTGTGTCTGCGGGGGGCCTGCCACCCATCACTCAAATGGGGAGTCCAGGCTTCTCCTTAGCACCTTAGGATCTGTCCGTGGTCAGTGTGGCCCCAATGCCTGGGTCTTGTTACTGAAAGAAGACATTTCTAGAGTGTCCTGGTGTAGAGTAACCACGAGATGACAGATCAAGAAATCAGGGGCTGTTATCAATAATCACCTTTCATTGACAAATACCAAGAGGTGGGCTCCCACAAACACTAGACTTTCTGACATATCTAGATTTCAAAGGAAAAGTCATTCAAGATGGGAGCATCTATCTTGCTCCTCTTTCTCAAAAATAGCAAAATTATTAAGGAACCAGTGCCACAGTGGACAGACCTCAACAATACACATGTGTTTCTTCGTTCATTTTTATTTATTTCACCTTTTTTTTTTTAACTTCCTGTGGTTCTAAGTTTGAGTTCCCAAAGAGTCAAGAGCCCTTTTCTTCCTTTTAGAAAAGGCATTTTGGTCAGTTATTCCATAGAATTGACTGTGTGCTATAAGCCCAGCAACTCAAGGGATTTGAATCGAATTTAGATGGAAGCATGTTCCACACTGAATTCACTGGCAGCTTCACAGAACAAGCAGGTCTTTAAGAGCAAAGCTGGTCTACAGGGAAGCTGGGTTGAGGGATTTTAGTAGTCCCCTCCTGTGACCATTGCACCCGTCTGCCAGGCCATCACCAAGCCCGTGGGCTGCTAGCAGGCATATGGACACTAAGAGAGCACAGTGAACGACTTCTCTCCTCTCCTCTCCTCCAAACCATACCCAGTGTGAAAGCTAATGAGGTGTGTGTTTCTGCTGATGCCTCAGCTTCACCAGCCTTCCAGCTGCTCAGACCAGCAGGATGCAAATAAAACCGGGAATGGCGGCCTCTGTGCTTGTGGGATTTTCTACATAAATTCTGGTCCCACGTTCTAAATTGAAATATCTGGTATTTAGCCATCCCCCTCTGCAATCAGAGGCTTTAATCATTGGGTTTTATAAAATCTGATTTATAAAATTGCACGCCTCACAATAAAGTAGCTTCGGGGTGCAAGCACAAAATTTAAAACACTCAATTAAAAATATAAAACATAGCAACAGCAGTTAAAAATGGCATATATTGGAATCATCAGCTGCCCCCTGGGTAGAAGGCTTTAAATGACATTAAACTTTCTGTCGGGAAGTCAAAGAGCCATTTAGTTTGGCCAGAAAGCTCCTGGGAACATGAGGCACACCTGGCCTCGGCAAGGATTGATTTCTGCACCTCTGCATCACTCCTCTGGGATCCTGTCCCCACATGAAGCAATATGGTCTCCAGGCAAAGGTCAAGTTCTTCACTTCAAAGCCTGGCTGTGGATCCCACCCCACCACTTACTGGTATGGGGACCTTGGCAAACCTATTCAGACATGAATCTCAGTTCCCTCTTCTACAAAACAGGATTAGTAATACTTCCTACCTCCAATGCTTTTCTTTTGTAAGGGTGGGATGTGACAGCATAGTTACTATCCAGTATCTGGTTTCAAGGAAGTTTTCATAATACTATTCATAGTATCGTTATTCTGTTACCCAAATCCAAATAAATATATAACACACAGTTGTACTTTAAAACCAAACCCTCATGCAAGTCAGTATTTCTATGTGGAGAATGGATGTGGGGTCAAGATGACAGGAACTGTGCCCCGCCCACATGGCTCTATTAGTCAGGCAAGGCCCTCTTGTGGAGTCTACAACGTGGAGAGATCTTACATGAAGAAGAAGGTTGAATATAGACAAAAGTTAACAGAATAGTGCAGCAATTTTCAACCGGTGCCACAAGAATTGCTAAAACATGCAATACCTGACTACTTAGTCAGGGGCACTGCCCAAAAGATCCTTAGATTGTCAAATAAAAAAAGTATACCTTTTATTTTCATCAGATTGGCAAAAAAATACAATCTATTTTTGGTGTGCCGCAGAATTTTGTAATTAGTTTATGTGTGCCATGAGATGAAAAAGGTTGAAAATCTCTGGAATCATGTGATGGATCCCACGTACTCTTCACCAGCCACTCACAGTTGCTCCATCCACACTCCTATCAATTTCCCTCCTTCTATGATTTGAAGTCCCAGACTTCAGGCCAGTTAATAATACATTATTATTATCACACCTAAAGTTAATGCTAATTTTCAGTATAACTGAATATCAAATCAGTGTTCAGATTTTCAATTCACCTCATAAACATAATTTTTACAGATTTAGTTTAATCTTATAAATGTCATAAATATTTTTAAAAGCAAAAATCCAAATAAATTCCACTCAGTACAATTGATTGTTCCATGTTTGGGCTCTCTTTTCATCTATAAATCCACCCTTTGTTTACCTTTTTTTTTTTCTTTTCTTTCAATTTATTCTTCAACAAAGTTTGAAGTGAATTGCTTGCTCCACAGAGATGTCCACAGTTTGGAAATGGGTGTAGTGTGGCCTACCCCTCTAGCCTCTGTGTTTCCTCCTTGTCAGCCATCAATCAACCTGATTCAGGTCAGACTGTATGCCAAGCAGTGCCCATCCTCCCACCAGCAAGCACGTTGTGTCTCCTGTCTGTGACGTCGGCAGAGCTGATGCTCAAAATCTGTCTCCATGATTATGTTAGGGTTGCACAATAATAATGTTCTGCCTCTCATAAGAAGCCCTGGCTGGTTTTGCTCAGTGGCTAAAGCATCATCCCATGGACTGAAGGGTCCTGGGTTCAATTTCAATCAAGGGCACTTACCTTGGTTGCAGACTCAATCCTTGGCCTGGGTCAAGGCATGTGCAAGAGGCAACCAATCAATGTGTCTCTCTCACAGAGATGTTTCTCGCTCTCTGTCTCCCTCTCTCTCACTCTCCCTGAAAATCAACAGAAAAATATCCTCATGTGAAGACTAACAAAAAAGAAAAATTATGGCATTAGAGTAACAGAGAATCACAGGGTGCCAATCTGTGACCTCAGGAAACCCAAGACAGACAGAGACCTAGTCGGCCAGCCAACCTATAACACGTAGACCACGACACCCCAGGCAGCAGCAAGGTGTCCCTGGCAGCAGAGGCCCTAGAGACGTCGCCCGGAGAAGGTAGACGTGGCCATCCCACTAAGTCTCATGCACGGACTCCAAGTCAGGGAACTCAATCTCGGAGGTGCCTCCGTGGACATTGAAGAGATTGCAAAGAAAGCAGTTTGTCACTATTTATTTATGTAAAGTTGATTTTATTCTCACATATCCTTACACTGGAAAATGGGGCAGGTTGTATATTGTGAGGGGAACTGTGATGACATGATAATAACAATAATAACTTGAGGTGTGGGGTCCCCACAATGCATCCAGATTTCAGGGACACTTGGTGGGAGTTCGGGGATGGAGGAACAGCAAAATGCTGATGGGCTCTCTTCCCTTGTTACTCTGCTCAGATATAACGCTTGCATACATCAGTGCTTTGACAGGAGGACGAAAAGTGCTGGGAACATGGTCAATGGCTTGGCCAGCAATGCTGAAATCGATGACAGCAGCAACTGCGACGCAACTGTGGTGCTACTCAAGAAAGGTAACCAAGGGGAGCCTGTGCCCAGGAAGTAAGCAGCATGGGGCACTGCAGCTGGCTTGAAGAGGGCGCTGCCTCTCTGAGGGAGAACAGGTTCCTGGCCTCTCCCCTCCCTTTGGCCATACCCTGGGGCAGTCTCATACCTGGTGATGTGCTGACTGAAAGCCCCATGCAAGTTCTTGGGCAAAATATTTGCTGGGAGTGCTACAAGGAAATTAGGACAGGATGGTAAGGAAGAGAAGACCATGGGTTTTGAGCTATTGATTCTGTCACATTTTGGCTGTGTGACCACAAAGCAGGTCACTTAATTACTCTGAGCCTCAATTTTCTCTTCTGCAGAATGGGGATAATTTTTGTAATGAGTAAAGGAGACAAAGTATGTAAGATACTTCATGAATAATAATTGTCATGAGTATATTATTATATCCAAATTTACTTCCAGGCTGTCATACCTCAGTTTCCAAGCTGCAGCATGATATATCAGGTCTAGTAATAATTAATGTCATTTTTAAACATTCGTTTAAAATCTTGCTTGGCGTTGACTTGTATTGACATAACCTTCAAACACGTGGTATCTACAGAACGTGTGAAGTGCAATTAACAAGTTTTGCTTGAAAAAGTTTGTGTTTGTTTGGTTTCTGTTGCAAAACTAGGGCTAAGAAGATGGCGGATGAAGAGCATATTCGGCACTGCATGCTTTACGAGTTCCAATTAGGAAGAAAAGCAAGTGAGGCTGCAAAAAACATCTGTAGTGCTCTTGGTCAAGATGCAGTTAGCGCTAGAAAATGCCAGCATTGGTTTGAGAAATTTCGCGAGGGAAATTTTTCGTTAGATGACAAGAGTGGTCGAGGCCGTGTGTCCAATTTTGATCAAGAAGCTCTTCAAGCTCTTTTGGTGCAAAATCCTCAAATTACCCAACAAGAGCTTGCGACAACTTTAAATTGTTCACAGAAAACAATTTCCAATCAATTCCGTGCACTTGGCAAAGTCCAAAAGTTTGGAAAATGGGTTCCTCATGAGTTGACCAACAACAACCGTAATCAGAGTCACAATTTGCAGTTCGCTCCTCTCTCGTCAAAACCGTTTGCCGTTTTTAGAGCAAATTGTTACCGGAGATGAAGAATGGGTGCTGTATGTTAATTTGAAAAGGCGGCCTCAATGGTTGGACAAAAATGAGGCTCCGCAGCCCATGCCAAAACCTGACTTGCATGCGAAAAAAGTGATGTTGTGTGTTTGGTGGAATTTTAAAGGAATTCTTCATTATGAACTTTTACCATCTAACCAAACCATTGCAAGTGCAGTGTATAGTGCCCAATTGGAAAGGTTAGCCCAAGCTTTAAGAGAAAAAGAACCCGCGCTGATTAATCGGAAGGGCGTAATTCTTCACCACGATAACGCACGACCTTATACTGCAAGAATCACTGCTGAAAAACTGCGCCAGTTGGAATGGGAAGTTCTCCCTCAACCTGCATATTCTCCTGATATTGCCCCTTCCGATTACCATTTGTTTCGTTCTTTGCAAAACTTTCTTCTTGGAAAAAAATTTAATAATGAAGAATGCCTCAAAAATGCATTGACCGAATTTTTTGCATCAAAATCACAAGAATTTTACAACAGAGGGATTAAAATGCTTCCTGAGCGTTGGGCACAAGTAGTAGAAAACAACAGCAACTATATTGTTGATTAAATTTTGTTGTATTGTTTAAATAAATTCGATTTAAAATATTAGAAAACGACATTAATTATTACTAGACCTAATAGTTAATGACATTTTTTTAAAGGTAATTTTTATATTTAGTAGATTCTTGTTAATCCATTTATATACTTAGATAAATAATATAAAGCAGCTCAAATAATGTTATTTCTTAGAGAAACACAAAAATTATCAATTACTTTTGCCTAGAATATGCTTCGTTTTTTATTGAGGTTTTTTTTGTTTTGTTTTTTAACTTTCCCTTGAAATATGTGGGCTTATTTCTTCTTAATCCCATATGGTTGCTTTGCAGGAAAAAAAAGAAATTAGAAAATCTATAGATTCTTTTCAAATATATGTCTGACTTTGGAATCTGTTGGTAATTATGAGAATTTTAAAATCAGTCATTTGGTAGACTTTCCTAATTATGTGCATGTTGAACTAATGACTTAAGATTATTCAGTGCCATCCCGCATAAAGATATCACTTATTTTTTTCTCTCTGGGTAGTTTGTAACCATAAGAGGAACACTCTCAGGAAGGCAGAGAGCGCTACCTAATATTATTTAGTGTTTCCAGAGATCATTTCATGGTTTAGTGGCTTGGAACAGGAGTGAGCACGGAGAGGGCCCGTGACTAGGTCCCCGAGAGATATGTGCTCATGTTTCACATTCCTAGAGAGGGGCCTTGGTGGAACTTGTTTCCAGCCAGTCAGCAAGTCATTACATAAGATTTGCCTGCAGCCTCCTTTGGGCCTTGGGCCTCTGTATTGTGGCCACTCGCTCACCCATCAGCCCTGATCCAAAGGCAGGGACTGAAGCAATGTGTCCATTTCTCCACCAGGTCCTCCACTTAAAAGTCAAGTCTGTTGCTTTTAACCTCTCAGTATGAACATTGTTGACATCTGAAGGGCATAAAAGGTTACTAAAGATTATGGGGGTCTTTCTTATGCCTCAGATCTGAGTTGAAGGGGGTCAATTCTTTGAGAACAAGGAGAAATTCTTATTTATTATCACTCATTTTTTTCTGTCAGTGAATGAGGCTTAAATTGTTTCATCATTTCTAAAGAGCTACTAAATGAGCCCAAAAAAACAGACTTTGGTTCTTCCTCAGATTTTGCTTACTAAAGCCCTCCCTGGATGAGTAGATAGATGGAAAGGCAGTTAAGGAGGGAAGGAAGATGAGAGGGAAGGAGGGAGGGAGAAAAACAGGAAGGGAGGGAAGAAGGGAAGACAACTGGGAGCATAAGAGGGAAGAAGGAAGAGAAAGGAAAAGAAGACTGAATGAATATGTCTTTCCTGCTCCTAATCTCAATATTTTTATTTTGTGTTTTTAACCTTCCTAGCCAATTTCCACCGCAAAGCATCAGTGATCATGGTGGATGAGCTGTTGTCTGCCTACCCACACCAGCTGTCTTTCTCTGAGGCTGGACTTCGAATCATGATCACCAGCCACTTTCCCCCCAAGACCAGACTCTCCATGGCCAGCCGCATGTTGATCAATGAGGTATCTGGGACAGCAGAAGCCATTTGCCACTGGACAGGGATAGGATACTAGGAAGGAGAGAAAGTTTCCAGGTCTGAAAGTAGAAGCATCTAATTCAACATTTAATACAATAATATCTCTCAGACATTTTGAAACATTATTGCTCACTGGGCCAGGTGCACATCCTGGTCCTTGCTCCTCCCTCCACATGTTGATAGACATGGTCCGGCTCCCAGTTATACAGGGGGGGGGACACAAAAAACAAAAAACCTCTCTGGTCCTTTTCTATGTACCTTTTTCTTTACATCTTGCATTTGAATGGAGCCCTCTCATGTGAATGAACTTGCACAGAAGTGGTTTCATACCAAAATTGCTTTAAAATAATCTTGAGTCTCTGACCTGAATTTTCCTCTGTATTCTTTTCTCTGGAGCAACAGCCTTATTGGTACACTAGTCCAAACACATTTGTGTGGCTTTCCTAAATTTTGGAGAAGAAAGTTAACATCACAGTGCACAGAGAATCAAGAACCCTGATAGAAAAGAAGTGCAATCTGAAGTGAGCAATGGGAATTTTCCTCTAAAATGATTTGCAAATTCCAATGGGTCATGAAGGTTAACCCTTCTTCCCAGAAGGAGGTTTTCTGAGTTGGTTATTACTTTGAGGAATCCCTTAAGACTTGACTGCAGAGTGTTCTGAAAGCATCTCCTTGTCCGCTACCTGGTGTTCTGGGTGTAGGGATATACAGTCCATCTTCCCGTGGTAAGAATGTGCCTTTCTCTTTCCAGAGACAAAGACTGATAAACAGCAGGGCTTACACCAATGGAGAATCTGAGGTGGCCATCAAAATCCCCATCAAACACACCGTGGAGAATGGGACAGGGCCCAGCAGTGCCCCAGACAGGGGCGTGAATGGAACTCGGAGGGATGATGTTGTTGCCGAGGCTGGGAATGAGACAGAGAATGAGAACGAGGACAACGAGAACAACGAGAATGACGAAGAGGAAGAGGAGGATGAGGAGGATGACGAAGGACCGTACACTCCATTCGACCCTCCCTGTAAGAGGTTCTATGTCTGGGCTGGGGTTGGAGGTTCTTTTAATGCCACTGAGTAGATGCCCTTAACTTTGATTATCTTTCTGCCATTCATTTCAAAGAACTATCTCTGTATGAGCACAGAAATGTTTACATTAACATCTGCAGTGGGCAAGACTGCTGTGAGGGTCCAAACATGAGCAAGATGGCTACGCATGCTCACTGGTAGCAATGTAGGCTCTTCAGCCAAGTTTATCATTGTGGGGGAAGTCCCTCTCTTAGCTGCTCTGTGGACCTTTTGGTGCTAAGGAAGCGAGTACGTGTCCTAAGAGTGTCGGCAGAGCATCTTGGGCTCCCGAGAAGTAGCACTCCACCCACCTTCACCCTTCCCTTCCCATTACAGTTAGCAGGGGGTTGTCCTGCCAAGGCCAGCCCTGGGTACATGTGCAGCCCTCCCCATTAGCCTTTGTGTGTTTTTTTCCTCACTTCCTGCCCCTCACTCCATTTAGGTGCTTCCACTCCCAGCACCTGCTGCTTCCAGGGCAGACCCCACAGGAGATGTACACCTGGGCACAGAGCATCCTGGCCCGGGTAAATCTCATCCTGTGGGCTGGCTGAGAACACCCCTCTGGTACCCAGGGGAGGAGCAAGACAGGGTGGTGTCCTTCTCCTTTGACTATCACCTCCTATAGAGATGTGGCTTCCCAGTGACCTTGTGGGACAGGTGGACCGAGCCCAAAGAATTCCGTCCATTTTCTAGATTTGCCAGAAGCTTCCAACGGTTTCAGGACAGAGTGCACTGGTCGGACTCACTTTCACTGTCAAGTGTGTGGGGCTTAATTAGCATGTGTGCCTTCTCCGGGAGGGTTGAATGTATGGGAGGACTTTAAACTCTGGGGAAGGATGGTTTGGTCCACCATCTTGCAAGGGTGGGATGTGGGGGCAGAGCATCAGAGCTGGGTTTCAGGGTGGGAGCCAGGTGTCTGTGCTCCTTTTTGTGTTCAAGAGACAGCAGGTAAAACAGACTCGGACTGCTCCTGGGCCCCCTCTGGGCTCCTGAGAGCTCAGCATGGCCAAGTGTTTACCAAAACTAACTAGAAAACATCTTCCCGATGCTTATGCCCCAATCCCGAACTGCCCGTCCAGAGTGAAATTGCCATTTGTTAGTAGGTAATATTCTTTTTTCTTTTAAAAAAATACGTATTTTTTATTGATTTCAGAGAGGAAGGGAGAGGGAGAGATATAAACATCAGTGATGAGAGAGAATCATTGATTGGCTGCCTCCTGTACATCCCCCACTGGGGATCGGGCCCACAGCCTGGGCTTGTGCCCTGACCAGAAATAGAACCAAACCTCCTGGCTACTCATAGGTTTATGCTCAACCCCTGAGCCACGCCGGCTGGGCAGTAGGTAATCTTGATAGGAAAAAAAAAATATATATATACACACACACACACACACACACACACACACACACACTGTGTTTTGATCCATTTTGCCAACTGTCTCTGTATTTCTTAGCAAGCTTCTTTCCTACCGTGTTTCCCTGAAAATAAGACATTCTCCGAAAATAAGACCTACTAACAGGTTTCCTTCTGAGTGAAATATAAGGCATCTCCCCGAAAATAAGGCCCCCCCCTAAGCTCTGTCTCAGAATGAAAATTAATTTACTGTAAACTGGTTGCTAGGGCTGCCCTGACTGGCGTCTAGCAACCAGTGACGTTACACGGAGTCCTGAAGTCACTGCTGTGTGGGGGTGGAGCGGAGGTCTGAGTGAGCGGTGAGCGTGGGGCAGGAGAGAGGAAGAGACTTTCGCAGATGCATGTAGAAGAACAGGAGGATTAGAGCAGACTGGACGCTGCGAAGGTGGTGAGTGCTGGTCTGTCTCTGGGCCACACAAGCAGTTATAAGGAAGTGGGTCCATTTAATGCTGCCACTTGTTATGAGAGGGATCCAAAGAGGTCTGCTAGTCTGGGATGCAGCCAGCACTCACCGTGCTAAAGACATGAAGACATTTCTTCACGAAAGAAAAATAGATCAGATAATGATTCCCACAGGAATGATGGCCTATCTCCACACTCTTGATATTGCAATAAACAAGCCATTCAAAGACAATTTGTGCATGGAAATTAATGACTACATTGAAAATAGAATGGAGAGAAATCAGCGTGGAAACTTTGTGAAACCTAAACTGCAAGAAGTTGTGACTTGGGTGAAGAATTCATGGGAGAAAAATCACTGACAGTTGCATTGCAAATGCACTGCAAGCAGGCTACCTTGACAAGAAGTACTCATTTAAAGACAGTGCTATTGCTAAACATGAGAGATTTAGTCCACTGATTCTGAAAGAAATGGAGTCACAAGAAATTCACCAGGAAATTCAGGAATTGGATTATGATGATGTTCCAGAAGATGATGACATTATTGTCATTGATTAAATGAGTAAATTCTTGATACTGTAGGATTCAGGTTTGTGTTGACAATTATCGTACTACCGTACCGTAGACAGGTAATAAATTTTCTTTATTTTCATTTAACAATAAATGTGTACCGTATTCTTCTTCATGGAAAAATAAGACATCCCCTGAAAATAAGACCTAGTGCATCTTTGGGAGCAAAAATTAATGTAAGACACTCTTATTTTGGGGAAAACAGGGTATCAACCAGGACAAAAGCATTTTAAGGATTAACATGTTAAGCACCCAGTCAGTCACTGGTGACTGACACTATACTTTCCATCAGGAAGACAAAACAGGCTGGGCGCTTAACGTGTTAAAGGATCAGACGCTCCATTCATCCCCTGTAAACTCTTGTGTGCATTTCCTGTTGCTGCATACACAGCAGGTTATCACAAGCTCAGCCACGTAAAACGACACCTGTTGAATAGCTCTCGGTTCTGTAGGTCAGAAGGCTGGCTGGGTTTAAGGGCCCCTTTCCGATCACGTGTCCCCATTTCTCACCTGGACGAGGTAAGTGCCAGGCCTAGCTATGAGGTGTGAGGTGTCTCCTCATCTCCAAAACCAAGGAGGTGAGGAGGCTCCAGGGCTTCCAGCTGTGTTTCCTTCTTCCTCATGTGACAGGAGACCTGGCTGCAGGCGTGGGCTCAGACCCACCTCGGGCCCCTGCATCTTTCACAAGCACCGGCCCCAGAGGCTCCAGAGGCCCCACAGGAGAAACAGTGCTCTGCATGGGCCTGCTACCTGGGGGTCTCTGCTTTGTCCCAGGGCCCCAAGCAAACAGGTCCCAAGTTCCTGTACACCAGCCCTTCTCGCCAGGGCTTCCTTGACAAAACTCAGGTTCTGCTCCAGAAGGGCGGGGCCTCAGAGTTTTCATTTCTAATGAGCCCTCAGGTGATGTCAGTGCTGTTGGCCCACAGATCACACCTGGGATGGGGAAGGGCTGGAGGCCTGGAGACACTTCCTTGACTTCGCAGTCCTTCTGAGGCTTAGGGGAGGCTAATTCCGCGCCCAGTTCCGCCTCTGAAATGGAGAGTGGGCTTCTCCAACTCTGAGCCTCAGTATTCCTCCACCAGCTGCTGAGAAATCTCATTCCTGGAGCCAGGAACTTCCATTGAGGCTCGGAGGCTGTGTCCAGCCAGGCCTGCTCCCAGCACGGAGCAGCCTGAGGGGGCCTCGGGCCAGCAGAGGGCACCAGAGGAGCCAGAAGGACAGTCTGGGGTTCCTCAGGCTAAGTTCCCTGGGCCTGAGAAAGGTCTGTCCACACAACGAGCACATTTTTCTTTTCTTGATCCTGTGAGAGCCAGGTTCCCCTGTTCCAGTTACCCAGCTGCAGGGCTTCCTTCTTGCCAGGACTTGAGTGGGTATAATCAACAAATAAGTAATTCTGTGGGAGTATATAAATATAGGGATAGATATGACACGTGTGTTTAAATGTGTATACATGAATATGTGTGTGCATATATTAGTGCACATGTATGATCAATATCATTAATATATGCATATAACATATTTGTATATATGCTGCACAAATTTAATATATTGTCTGTTAATATGCATGTGTGTACACATCTTTAAGGTATTATATATTACATAATGTATAACGCATATTAACATACCTGAGTTTTTATGTATATATGTGTAGATTAAATATATACAATGGACAACTATGCATAGTATATCTATATATGTATACATACATATAAATTGTACATATATTCTTATCTCTTGTGTGAAGAAAGCCTTCCTAGTGACTGAGAGAAACAGAAACACTTACATGTATATGTAGATAAACACACTTTTATTTTTTAAAAATGAAAAGAAATACGCAAAAATATAAGTATGCTTTTTGTATTTGGGATTATTTTTTTTTTTCTCTGCTTTTTTATTTTAAAACAATGTATACCTTTTAATTGCCTATATCAGTGGTTGGCAAACTTGTAGAGCCAAATATCAACAGAACAATGATTGAAATTCCTTTTGAGAGCCGAAAACTGACTTCTGCGCATGGGCCACGAAGTTTCAATCACCCACACGTGGTATTTTGTGGAAGAGCCACACTCAAGGGGCCAAAGAGCCACATGTGGCTCGAGAGCTGTGGTTTGCCAACCACTAGCCTATATGATTAGGAGAAATTTATATATATTTAACTCTCGGTCTAAAATACTGAGCAATGAATGACTTTTTTTTCCATCCAATAGAATTAAGTGTCCAAAAAAGCTTAATCAGAACTGTAACTTGAGAAGAAGTCCTTTGCTTTTTAGAGCCGGCAATACTGACTGAGGATGCTCAGTCCCTGCTCCAGCTCCCATTTGCTGGCTGGCATTCGAGAAATCATGTAACCTCTATTTCATGTGCAGGGAATTTTGTTTCATTCAACTGCTGCTGTATCTGCAGGACCTGGGCAGTGCCTGGCCTGAGGGGCAAAGTTGACCACTCAATGTCCTCAAAACCATTGAAAACACACACTTCTGCATCACTTGATTTATTCAAGAAATTATATTTATTATATTTCATTTAAAGGTATACCTTGAATTTCTGCTTTAAATTTGTTCTTACAATGGAACTGTAACTCAAAGAAAGCATCTATAGCATTTTGGATGACAGTGAAAACAGTTTTCAAGATATAATGTCCTCCCAGTGTGAAGTCAAAAATTTTTTTCAGCTGAGAGACCAAACTCAAAACTCATTGCTGCTGGCTTGTACTGCTGGAAACTTTACCTAATGTCATTTCTATGCCCTTGCAGTCCTAAGTCCTGACTTCATTTTTCTTATCGCTTTTATTTTCTAAAGAATGACAGATAGCCAAATTGAAGTCATTTCTCAGCTCATTCATGTGTTTCTTTGTAAGTTGGATTGGGTGTATATATTAAACTCTCTCTCCCTAGGAGGGCATCTGGGAGACTGCATGACCCGTAGGGGATGTCAAGGCCCCCAGGCTGATAAGTCACTACCATATTGCAGGATTCAGGGAAGTGCAGACTTCCAGGATGCATTTGGAATCCAAAAATCTGGCCATAATCTGGATTCTGCAGCACTTGAAAAGCCCTCAGAAAACAAATCCTCAGGCAGTCCTCTTGCTTTGTGATCCAGCCAAACAGTCTCAGTGTTCTCCTCATTCACTTTACCATCTCCAAATCTGAAATCTAACAACATGCTGCTAATGGGGAAAGATGCCCCTTTCTTATTCTGTTCTCTTCGCTTTATTCTGCACCTGTTAGTGGGATACCTTTAGATCCTAAACACACACACACACACACACACACACACACACACACACACATTACTATATTGTTCCTAGCAATGTTATTACTGTCAATATTATCAATATGTATTGATCATGTGATATATGCCTTGCCCTGTTCATGGCATTTAAAGTACTGAGCATGCTTGAGAAAACATTCTTATGGAGTTTATATTCTAGCTTGGGGCAAGTGAAAACAAATGAGAAAACAAACCTGATACTTTCAGACAGAAATCATTTACTATGAAACAAACAAATGAAGGTGATGGAAAAGAAGTGGGGTGGGTTAGGGTCTTATTTAAACAGGTGATCGGAGGGATCAGGGGACATTGGGGCTGTGCAGTGGACTGCCTGGCAGGGAACTGCAGGTGCAAAGGTCCTAAGGTAAAAAGAAGCTTGGTGAGTCTGAGGACAGAAAGCTTGGGCAGGAGCATGTGTAAGTAGGAAGAGCGGTAAGTGGGAGCCAAATCATTTAGGTGGGGAGATACTGTTTTTCTCTGAGGGCAGTAGAAGCAAGTAGAAGGTTCTAAAGCAGTTTACTTTTTTAGACTCTGGCTACTGATGGTGAGCAGGTGGAAGTGGAGCAAGTGTAGGAGCAGTGAGTCCCTTAGGAACTCGGGTCTTCAGCCAGGTCGTGGATGGAGGGCTGGCCCCAGGAAAGGCTGTGGGAATCGTGAGCTGCAGGCAGACTGAGGGTGCCCTGGGCAGGTTGCCAGTGTTGGTGTGGGGCTGAGAGAACAGGGAGAGTCAAGAATGATCCTGAAAATTTTGATTCCACCAACCTGCCAACTTACACTGTCCCAGCCCCATCCTGATATCCCATGTAATTCTTCCAGCTACTCTGTGAGTTCAGTGTTGCTCTGTCCACATTTTACAGATGAGGAAACTGAGACTTAGGGGATGTAAGTATCTGAGACATTTGGTTCAGGCAGCGGAGCCAGCGCTGTCTGGTGAATAAGCCCCACTCTTCCCTTAGTGACCACCTTGCCATCCGAGGGAGACCGGGGAGCCAAAAGTGATGTTGTGTAACTTGGTTCTGTGTTTTAAGAAAATATTTGGAGACTGGTAAGAAATATAATAAGTGCTGGATACTGATAGAAAATTATGAAATAAGTTTTGTTTCATTAGTCCCTGTTCAAAATGTATTTTAAAAATACCTTCTTAGCCGAAACCGGTTTGGCTCAGTGGATAGAGCATCAGCCTGCATACTGAAAGGTCCCAGGTTCGATTCCAGTCAGGGGCATGTACCTTGGTTGCAGGCACACCCCGGCTAGGGGGTGTGCAAGAGGCAGCTGATCAATGTTTCTCATCGATGTTTCTAACTCTCTATCCCTCTCTCTTCCTCTATGTAAAAAATCAATAAAAAATATATATTTTTTTAAATACCTTCTTATCTCTAGTCGGGATAGAAGATGGTACAATCATTTTTAGAAAACTGTTTAGTAATTTCTAATAAAGTTAAGTAAGTACCCACCCTATGACTCAGCAATTCTACTCTTGGGTCTTTGCCCCAAAAAGACTTGTACAAGAATGCTCATAGCCACTCTTGTTGTAATACCTGAAAACTGGCCACAACCCAAATTTCCATCCACAGGAGAATGGATAAACAAGCTGTGGTGTATTCACAGGGTAGAATACTGCACAGCAATTAAAATGAATGAATCAGTTACACATGAATGAATCACACAGAAAAAACATGTTGAATGAAAGAAGGTAGACATAAAAACATATTATATGATTTTATTATTTGAAGTTGAAGAACAGGAAAGATTCATCTATGGTGGTAGCAGGTGGGAGGATGACTAGAAGGAAGCACAGGGAAACTTCTGGAAGAGGAGATTGTGATAGAAGAAGAGAGTATATATGTGTATGTGAAGTTCTTGCAGGTGAGTTAGCACTGAAGCAGGAAAGTTATAAAGACCAAAAGAGAACTAATATGTTTTTCAAATCAAAGGCAACAGGAAATGATGATCATATAGTGACCAAAACAACATGTATGGGTGTCTCTGAGTCAGAGTCCTCAGGCAGCACAGAGATGGGAGGATCAGGTCATCACTGACAAATCCGTCATCTTATTCATGGAAACAGGTAGTTAGAGAAATAGAAAACAGTGATTCAAAGTACATATCAGTTTGGGATACAAACACTCAATGCCCTGTTTTGACAACCTTGAGAGCTTTCAAATCATCTTTCAAGATTTCAGTACATTGATAGACGATGCTGATAGATTCCACTAGATGGCGCTATGACCACTGACGCCTTACAATCTGGAAGGCTATGGTGACCTATGTATCCAGTTGGAGAATAGACAACAAAGGCCAACTGATCATTTTCCTAGCAACACTCCTCCCCCCAAACCTCTGCCCCCACACACTTCCCTCACCCGTTTGTGTCCTGGATTTTTTCTCATTCTTTTGCTCCTGGCCTCATTTGCCAAGCCATCCCCCCAGCCTTGTACGATTCAGAAGTGACTCATCCTTTCATTTTAGAGGCCTTCCCTACCAGGTGGGCCGCAGAGAAGGTTGGTATTCTGCTTGGTTTTGTCCATCAGGTTTTGTTGGTGATGAAAAGCCATTTGTGTCTTTTAGGGAAAGAACAACACAGTAAGGTTTCTTTCACAGGCCACCAATTAAGCTATAAGTGCCTGGGGAACGCAGTATGGAGAGCTGGTGGAGCAGAGGACTGATTTGTGTGTGTCTGTGTTTGCCCTTTTTATTTTTCCCAGCCGGCAAACTGGAGACAGTGAAATGGGTGTTCACCTGGCCACTGAGTTTTGTCTTATACTTCACGGTACCCAACTGCAACAAGCCCCGGTGGGAGAAGTGGTTTATGGTGACATTTGCTTCCTCCACGCTGTGGATCGCAGCCTTCTCCTACATGATGGTGTGGATGGTGAGTGCATCAACCCCATGGCAGCCCTCGATCTCTGTAGAGAGAGAGAAATATTGTACACTCAACCAGAGGGGAATATGGGTTGGGGTTTCAGCCCAGACACTGTGACAGTCAGCTACTGCAGCAATAAGCTGCATAACAAAACACCCTGAAACAGAGGTTTAGAGTCACAAGCATTTATCCTCTTGCTCACGTCTTCAGGTTGAATGGTTGGACTAATTTCAGCACAGGCACTGACTGAGCAACTCTACTTCAAGCCACAGCGTGGTTCCATAGATTCAGGCAGCAGGTGGGGTTTATGTCTAATCCATGTGTTTGCCCATTTTCCTGGACCATAATCCATGTGGCTGCCTGGGAAACGCTATTCTCATGGTGGATCACTGGAGTGCATGGTGCCTTCTATGGCCTTGGCTGTGACTTCCACCCGCATTCCATCATCCCCAACATCCATGGAGTGCGGTGGGGGGTTATATTCAAGAGCTAATAAAATGTTCTGGAAGGATTATTTTTGGAGGCAATAACAAATTTGTGAACTTTGGCCCAATTAAATCATAATTATCCCTTGCTTTCAACATCATGGAGAAACAGGAATTTTTTTTTTTCAACCTAAATCTTATAGCCACAGGTTCCTCCCTTCTCCTGTACTCATTAACAGTTTTATTTGACATACTCACTGGGTGCCATCTCTGTTCCAGGTTTGGGGACTGGTGTTGTTGTCCCTGTCCTCTAGGTGCTCAGTGGTTTTCTCCCAAGTCCACCTACAAGCAAACCCACCCACTAACCTGAGGTTTACCCTCCCTCCGTCAGACTCCTCCTTGGGTGGAGGGACAGCTCTAAGAAGTCCTGACAAGGGGTGGGGAGTAGGGAGAAAACAGGAAGCAGGAGACCTGGCCCAGCTGTCTGGGGAATCAGTTCCCCAAAACTCCAGACTAAGCCACAAGCATCGCAATAATACCAGAGGGCAGGCCAAGCCCCAGCAAGACAAACCTGATTCCCACAGAGACCCGGCCGAGGGCTGTTAGAAAGGAAAATGCGGTTTGGCCAGGATCCTGGTAACGCCACTTCTCCAAAGCCTCCTCAGAACAACCGACAGAAATGCTGTGTTTTCTGCATCTCACTTTCCTCCTTGGAGAGAGGAAGACAGAAAGTCCCAAGGCCACTCCAAGTTCAATTCAGCACTGAACAGAAATGAGGTGCATTCTCCAGTTTAAAAGGGGGCCAGCCAGGCATCTCCATGTGACTAACTTCCCACAAACCTTTGGACTGTGAAGGAGCATCTGTGGCCTTTGGAGGAAGTCAGGGTGCATTCCTAGGTGTCTCCTTCAACCGCTGGCCTGGCAGGGAGGAACTGTGAGAATGTGCTATTTACAGTTCATGGTTTGCATTTCTTGTAACTTTGTAGAAAGTGAGGTCAGGTGGCATCCTGACCAATTCCTCTCAGTTCTTGCAAGTTATCCTCTCCTTAGGCCAACGTATAGGGACTTGGTCTCTTGTCGCTGCTGGCCACCCCCTCCATGATGTCTCACCACCCGCTTTCCTCTGTCTTACCATCTGGGATCAAGGGGCCAGAATGGGCTCGTTTGCATAATGGAGGCACTGACTCAGGCCAAACCCCTCCCATGTAGACAGAGGCACTGCCTCTGCAAAGGAGCCTGCCTGCCAGGGAGGGAATGCCCTCCCTCTGCCACTTACCCACACGTGTGCCTTGGGCAGTGCCTCATATTCCATATCTAAAGAATAGAGATAACGATAGCACTACTCTGTAGGGTTGTTGTGAGAATTAAGTCAGTTAAAACACACAAACATCACTTAGCACAGTGCCCAGCAAACATCAGTGATATGGTGTGGAGGGCAGTGTTGACAAAGGTGATGTTAAGCAAGCTTCCAGGGAAAGAGGAAAGGAATCAGCAACTATGGCCTTTCCTACAAGACTGGGAGGTGTGGATTCCCATCATGCAGCTCAAATTCCCAGCCCAACTTGGCAGCTATGCATTCTGCATTTCCTAGGACCACCCATGGTGTAAATATTCCATCCCAATATTGCTTTTCCCCAGGCACTATTTTTCCTCTCTCGGGCCATCTGTCTCAGCTGAAAGGAACGAGTGGAAAAGGACCATCTTTGATTGGAAAACATGAGCTTCCATAACTGCACCCTGGTCCGCTGACCTGCAGCCCCAGGGTGCTCCCCGAGACCTTCTTCCCCTCCATCTTCATACAGAGAGCCTACGCTGCCCCCTGGAGAGACCGCCTTTTCTATGTCTTGGTCAAAGGATGCACAGGCAGGTAGGGCTGGAGTCAGCCTTCAGCTCACCACCTCTTCCTGCTTCCTCCAGGTCACAATCATCGGTTACACACTGGGGATTCCTGACGTCATCATGGGCATCACCTTCCTGGCAGCCGGAACCAGTGTGCCTGACTGCATGGCCAGCCTCATCGTGGCCAGACAAGGTGGGGCCCCCAGTGGGCTGGGGTAGGGGAGGAAGGAAGACCTCTCAACAAGGGTGTGAGAGGGTGGGTGTCCACCTGACAATTACCAGGCCTTCAAATCCCAGCTTGGAAGGGGTGATGGGGGACTTCAGTGCCATGTTGGTCAAAAGGCTTCTTGGCATCAGAACAGGGAAACAAGCCAGAAGGTCAGAGAAGTTTTCTATGTAGCACCAGCCCCCCCCCCCCCTTTCTGGAGGTTGTATTACCTTTTTTTTTTTAAATAGTAACAAATATATTGATAGCTAACCTTTGCTAAGTGCCTCACACTGAGTAAAGCAATTTAGGCACATTATTTTATACAACTTAAAAAAAAAATTCTATGAGTTAGGGACAATGGTACACCCATTTTATAGATAAGGAAACTGAGGCTTAGAGAGCACAGACCACATAGCCTAAGGTTTACTCAGCTGCAGTAACCCTCGAGGTAGTAGTTGCCATAGGTCACTCTTCAGTGTGTGACAGATCCTCCCCTCCTTCAAAACCAAGGTCACAGTTAACCTTCCCAGGTGGATGCCCCGGATGGCCATGCCCCTCCCCAGCACCCCTCTAACGTGTATGCCTGATTTGTGCTAGAGGACCTTTGTTTTCAACAGAAATGTCTAGCTATGACACAACACAGTGTCCTCTACAAGTCCTCGCAAAAGTCAACTGGTTACATTATTCTTCTTAGTATTGCTCAGTGGTTTAGAAGGATGAATACAGTGTAAAACAGGTGGATGATGATACTGAAATGTATGGGTTGCTGAGATCAGGAGCCCCTTTATACAACTGTTGTGTGAATTCCTTTCTATAAGGATGTATTCTAATTTATTAAATTATATTTGGATTTTTGAAGCACATCTGACCCGTGATCATATTTGAAATAAGGGTCAACAGTTGAAGAAAGTGTAATTTATTGAATTCTATTGAAAATACATATTCTATTCCAATGATTATGTGTTTTACAGGCAGCATCAATCTATAGCAGTGATTTTCAACCTGTGTACCATCGAAGTTTTAAAACATACAATACCTGACTATGTTGTCAAGGATACTGACCTCTTTTCCCTTAGCTTGTCAAATAAAAAATATAACATAACAATAGCCATCCAGTGTGAATGAATCACAATTATACTTATTTTTTGTCAGTTCTACACAAACACACATTTTTTTGTGTGTGCTGCAGAATTGTAATAATTAGTTTATGTGTGCCATGGGGTGAAAAAGGTTTAAAATCACTGTTCCAAAATCGGCCTAGGAGAGAACCAAATATGTGAGCTTGCAGACCTGCCAACTAGGTCTCTGGCTGTCAGACAGAAGGTTTCGGGGAGTCCCTTGTGGGTACTCCCCTGAGATCCCTTCCCTCACTGCAGTGGCCTCTTGTCCCCGCAGGCATGGGAGACATGGCCGTGTCCAACTCCATCGGGAGCAACGTGTTTGACATCCTCATTGGCCTCGGTCTCCCCTGGGCCCTGCAGACTCTGGCTGTGGATTATGGATCCTACGTAAGTGGTTTTTCTCCATGGCTTCTCTTTACATCTGTTTTTAGTGGCCTTGGTCACAGTGACTTTGCCTCAAGGCGAGGGAGTGTGGAAATACTAATGTTTGGCAGGTAACAAATTCTCCCCATCAAAGTCATTCCAAAGTGAGGCCTGTGGGATCCTTCAGGACTCAAGAGCATGGTTGGAAACTTCTTCTGTAAAGAAACAGAGGGTAGCCGGCTGGTTTGGCTCTTTCGATTGAGCATCAACCTTTAAACCAAGAAGTTACTGGCTTGATTCCTGCCCAGATTGTGAGCTTGATCCTTAGTAGGGGGTGAGCAGGAGGCAGCTGATGAATGATGTTTCTCTCTCATTGATGTTTTTATCTCTCTATCCCTCTCACCTCCTCTCTCTAAAGATCAATTAAAACTTTTTGTGTGGTTTTTTTTTTTTTTTTTAAAGAAGCAGAGGGTAAATGCTTTAGGCTTCATGGGCCAGACAGTTGCTGTCCCATCTACTTAGCTCTGCTGTGATAGCCTGATCAACCACAGATGATATGGAAGTGAATGAGTGTGGCTGTTTAAGTACAACTTTATTAATAGAAACTGAAATTTGAATTTCATATATTTTTCACATATTATGATTCTTTCGTTTCTTTTTAACTCATTGGAAATGTAAACATCATTCTTAACTCATGGGCTATGCAAGTCCTGGTGGTGAGCTTGATCTGGCCCAGCTCCATAATTTGCCAACCTCTTCTCAAGTGTATTTATTTTGCATGCAAACTATCTTTGTATGTGAAGAAAGGGGCACAAAAATACAAGATTCCCTCTCTGCCAGGGATCTGATGACTGTCAGACCCTCCTGTGATGACCTGATTATGGCTTCAGGTGATTTGCAGGTGGGTGACTCAGGTAGTCCAGGTGGACTCAATGCTCTTTCCCAACTCGCCAAAATGTCCCCCCTCTGCTACAAAAGCTTCTGCCCTAGTAACTGTCCAAAGACTGAGGAAGAAACTGTGCTTCAAGGTTTCTTCCTATATCGGGAAGAAAGAAGGATTGTGCCTCTGAAGCTGTTACACCTGTGCAGTGCTCAGTGCTTCTCTAAATAGGCTGCTGAGCATGACTTAGTCCATCTGTACTGTATGTTCTAAGTAATTGTTTATTCTGCAGAAAATTCTGTAGTGCATTTTAACAAATGGTAGTTGTATTCGAAGTTGCTTGACTAATGGCTGTTTCAACTAAGAAAGGTATATCCAACCGGTTGCAATTGTTGGGGAGAAGGGTACCCTGCTTTAGTTCTTATGGTTGGACTAGGGTAAAATAATAAAATTGACACAAGACTGGACTCACAGGAGAAAAATCTGTTTAATATGTGTGCATGGGAGAATCACAATATGATACCCAGATCAAACAATGAAGCTCAAAGAAATTATTGAACCAGTCCCCTTCTTATACTTTTTAGGGGGGGGGGGGGGGGGGAATGAATTTGTGAGAAGTGCACAGGACAAAGAAAGTTGGTGCTCATTAGAAAGGAATCTAAGCAAGGATTGAGCTCGGGTAGTAAATTAATAAAGGCAGTTCAACATTTAACGTTTGTTTATATAAGCTTTGGACTCTGGATTCTTTTAACTCTGGTTATATTCTCTCTCAGCCCTCAGGAGTGTTGAGGGTATCTATCACATGGGGGATTTATCTCTGCTTTTAGGGGCACAGAGAGGTCAGGCTTACTTCTTGTACAGGCAGATTCTTAAGTAACTTTAGTTTAAAATATCAATATAGATTATTGTAGAGTATCTTGAGGCAGCCTGTCCTGGGTCTGGACACAATGGAATTGGAATCCGTACAGAAAAGCCATATGTTTCTGGTTTATGTTAAGTTACCTACTGGCTGAGAGGTTTCACCAGAGGGCATCCTTGATCTTCATTGCCTCATCCCTCCCTCCTAGTAATCTATCTCTTTTAAATGCAATGTTCTGTCTCTCATTTCATTTCCTGATTCATCTTTATAGCCTGTTTTCATTGGAGCCCCAGAATAGCAGGGGGTACTGATCTGTTGAGTTCATCAGCAACCCACTGGTTTATTGCTCTGTCTCTTTCACCTTCCCACTTACCTCTTACCTAACAAGTAAAATGCAGACCTATGTGAATTTCAACTACTGTTTGTTTTCTCTGGTATCTGAAGAACAGGCAGCAAAAAGATAAGAAGAAACTACACTCTGAATAACCTGGAAAATCAGTCCATGAATAATAGATATTTACCACATGACTCTCTCCAGGGAAGGATAGACAGGCAGGAACAGGGGATGCAAATCCTTGCGTTGTCCCTGAAATCCATTATGTTTCTTTTTCTTTGCTGGGATTAACAGGGTACAACCAAAAACTCAAAAACAAAACTCAGAGCTCATCCTGGAAGTAAACTGGTTTCTCTAACCAGCTTTGAAAACTTCCTGACAGAACGTGGATATCAGGCCTGAAATTCCAACTCGATTAGGCACATTGTCTGCCACAATTAACCCCCTAAATATTCTGCCTTCCTCTTCTCTGACATACTTCCAAAACTCTTCAGAGAACAGAAAATTAAACAAAATTCTCATATCAGTAACTCCCACAGCCATGAAGGCACACCATTTCGGGTCCCAACTCTAGTGGCAGGGTGACATCATGAAAACAAAAGTTCAGGCCCTGTTAGATCTTTGGCCCAAATTTCTGTTTTTCATCTGTAGATGATGTAATTGGGTCACTGGTAATTCTGCTGGAATTGTACAAGGAGTATATCTGATCCTGAGGTTGAAGATCATCCTTATCCTTGACATGAAGGAGGAAATGCAGAAGGAAAGGTGGCCACATCTGGTCTATGACCAAGGCAAAGCCACATGGGAGAGTGCTCTTAGGAGAGAGTTTTGGTTGGGAAGACTGGGAAAAAATGTGTTACCTTGCATTATCATCCAAATACTGCTGTATCTGTAACCAGGGCCAGATAGATGGTCGTTTTATTCCAGGAGTACAGACATTCAGTGTAGCCCTCTCTTTTGAAAGCAGAAATTCATCAATATAATCAAACAGTTCTTGAATCCCAGGGAAATCAAGGACATTTCATTTTGTATATGGTGTGAGGTAAGGGTTCATCTTTCTTCTTTTGCATGTTGATATCACTGTTTCAGTACTATTTGTTGTAAAGATTTCATTTTGAACTATAAAAATTCTAAGGAAACAATTCTAGTTAACTTCTTTTTCAGTAATATTCACAACTTGCTTCTTGCCCATTTGCATTTTAGTTCTGATTCAGTTAGAATGAAAACTCCCCCTGACAGTGAATCACTATTTGAGAATGCAGGATTCTAGAATACCCAACTATAGTTGAAATATAATCATGGCAGTAATTCTGAGTCAGCAAGAAACAGTGAAGAATGAAATATTTTCACTAAAAACAGTTAAGATGCTGGTAGGTGCTGGACTTAAATTTTCTAGACAACTTTACTTGTACAGAACTCCTCTTTGTCTAGTAATGTTAGACCACACAAGATGCCCAGTATTTGGCCCAACCAAGCTTTAATTTTGTTTTTTCTAGAAGTCAGGTGTCCCAGAAAGTGGCCCCATAGAACCAGGCCACTTCACAGAGGGGGGGAAGGGGCTTCATTGTCTCTCCAGCTCATTCTTCAGGTGTCAGATTAGATGTCAACTATATTCCTCCAGGCTTGGGTCAGGGGTCACTCCTGTATTTTTCCTCAGCTTCCATGAAAGCTTCCCTTTGCCTCTTTGTCTGAGCCTCTCCCAGTGAGGCAATCTCCCTGAGAGTAGGAACTCTGTCTTTTTTATACATTGTTCTATCAACAAATATTTGCTTGTTGGCTGGATGGATCCTAAGTTTCCCATCAGCATCACCTCAGCTGTGGGGGGTGGGGGACATGTGAGCAGAGCAGAATGTAGGAATAAGTTGACCTGAGAAAAAAAGTAGAGGACAAAACAGCAATAAGAAGAGCTGAACATTAAGTACCTACTATGTGTCAGGCACTCTAGAAACACATAGTCTCATCTAATCCCGAGAACAGCAAAATTAGGCAAGGATTATTTCTTCAACCAGTGGTTACCATGCCTACTGTGTGCCAAAAAATTTGGAAAGGCACTGGAAACAGAGAGTAAATGAGATGGACTAGACTCTCCCTCTCAGAGGGTGCATCAGGTATGGGAAAACAGAAATCCATGAGTGACAAATACATAAGTGCACTAAATTTGGAGAACAAAAGCCTTTTGAAACCTATGAGACATGTGATGTGATGGGGGGGGGGGGCACATATCACTCTAGATTTATTGGAAAAAAGAGGTGGGTTCTGTGCTGAGTGGCAAATGACAAAAAAGAGTTGGGTGTGTGGAGGGGACAGCAAGTGTAAAGACATTGAGGTGGACTGTGTCTGAGAACAAAAGGGCAGTCAGAGCAACACAAAAGCAGGGGTGAGGCAGGCTGACTGAGTGGGCAGGGTGAGGTGGGGCTGGGTAAGGCAGGCTGAGTGAAGTGGGCAGGGGTAAGGCAGGCTGAGTGAGGTGGGCAGGGGAGAGGCAGGCTGAGTGAGGTGGGCAGGGGAGAGGCAAGGAGGGAGAAAGGAATGAGGTGAGGTGGGCAGAGGTCACATGTCGCACTCTACTGCAATGCTGTTCCAACTCCCCTTGAGCAGGTCAGGAAACCAGGGCCCAGAAAATCACAGCCAGATAGAGGCAGAGAGAAGACGGTGAGATTTGCTTCCCCTCCTCCATCCCCTGTCCCAAGCCCCAGAGATCAAAGGGGGAGGGAGGGTACTTCTGCTGAAAGGAAACCGTGCCACAATGGCCACCATGCAGGGCTGGGGGCTCAGACACACAAGGGTCACACTGAGGCAGAACCATCTCTGATTTTAATCTTTGCCAGAAGAGAGGACAGGCTCAAATGAGCTCTTCAACTTCAAGTAAGGAAAGAAGGACCTGGAAGGGAAGAGACCTCCTGACCCCCCTAGTCCTGTTCTAAAAAGCTGAAGTCCTCACTGCTCTAGGC